GTTCAAAGCCAGTCCCAAGCAGGAAAGTTCGTGAAACTCTTATCTTGAATTAACCTCTAGAAAACAGGAAGTAGAGCGGTGGCACAAAGTGGTAGAGCACTAACCTTGAGCAAAAGAGCTCAGGAACAATGCCCAGGCTCAGAGTTCAAGCCCCATGATGGACAAAAAAAAAAAAATTTCCAGGAGGAGAGCTATGCAGAGGGTTAGCGAATGAATACTCAGTCCAGGGCAGAAGAGCAGATGAGAGGCTGCAGGAGAGACTGCTTCAGGATACTGAGAATAACAGATGTATAACCAAATGTTTGTGAAAAGCTGTTAACAGTTGGTGTGGAGATTGAGTCGAATAATTAATAAATACATGGAGAAGAAAAAAAAAAACCCTCACATCCAAAGGAAACAAAAAGTTCTGCAAGAGAGAAATCATGGGGATACTGCAGGCTCAAGTGTGAACAATATTTACATAGTCATTGTTACTATAAACACTGACTACTGATATAACCAGAATTACAACACAACTATATTCCGAAAATGGAGAAATTTACCACTCAAGTTTCCATGTAAGTGGATAGTGGTGTAGAGCTGTTGATGCAAAAGGAAGCATTCTCAGGCTGGGAATGTGGCTTAGTAGTAGAGTACTTGCCTAGCATGCATCAAGCCCTGGGTTCAATTCCTCAGGACCACAGAAACACAAAAAGCTGGAAGTGGCACTGTGACTCAAGTGGTAGAGCACTAGCCTTGAGTAAAAAGGTCAGGGACAGTACCCAGGCTCTGAGTTCAAGCCCCATGACAAGGGAAAAAGAATGAAAGTAAGAAAGCATTCTCATTTTTCCTGGTAAAAAGTCAATAAATAATGAATTGACACCAGTCTGGGAAAGTGGCTTAGTTGTAGAGTGCTTGCTTAGCATGAAGCCCTGGGTTCAATTCCTCAGTACCACATAAACAGAAAAGACCAGTAGTAGCGCTGGGGCTCAAGTGACAGCCTTGAGCAAAAGAAGCTGAGGGACAGTGCCCAGACCCTGAGTTCAAGCCCCAACACTGGCCAAAAAAAAAAAGGAAAAAAACACATCTGTATCCCTATACTGGTGGACCCATTGCAACAATGAGACGTACAAGTCGTTACGTCGAAAACGAACTTTACAACTTTGGTTGGGGAGAGGAGGGTGGAGTGGGGAGGCGGGGAGAGATGGGAAGGAATGGGAAGGGGAAACAAAGGAGGAGGCTACAATGCTTGATAAGAAATGTACTCATTATCTTGTCCATGTAATTGTAACCCCTCTGTATGATATTTTCACACAAAAAAAAATGTGCTCATTACCTTGCCCATGTTATTGTAACCCCTCTGTATGGTATTTTCGCAATAAAAAAAAGAAAAATTAAAAAACAAACAAAAAAACAAACACATCAAGCAGGGCCCCAGAGGCTCACACTTATAATCCTAGCTACTCAGGAGGCTAAGATCTGAGGATCACAGTTCAAAGCCAGAAAACTCTGAGACTCTTATCTCTAATAAGCGACCCCCCAAAAGCTGGAAATAGAGCATTAGCTCAAGTGGTAGAGCAATAGCCTTGAGCAAAAGAAACTCAAGTATAGCCTCCAGGCTCTGAGTTCAAGCCCCAGGACCAGCAAAAAAGAATTGACATCAATAAACATAAGCATAGCATTTAGAAGTATAGAAGGAAACGATAAAAGCTGAAGAGATCTCAAAAGACCTCTAAAGTAAACTTCTCTGTAGAAACTACACTTGTATTAAAGATCTTACTGCTTGCTTGATCATGAATGACTGATTTATCTTGCATTATTTTAGGCCTTTTTCAAGCCAATAACCTTAACTCTATATAACTAGTAGATAAACTCTTTGAAAGTGTTGCTAACCTCTCTGTAGTTAGCAACAACCCTAAAAGCTAAGAGTGCTCTAAGATAAAAGCTGAAACTACAGTAGAGATTTTCCTGCTTTGAGTAGCCAGCCTACCTGATACCTAGATTAATACAATTGGTAAATGTATTGATTTAGTTTTTCCTTTTGGTCTATGAAAATTAAAGTTCCTGTAATAACTTCTTTGATGGAAGATGCCATTCAAGGAAACCTGAATCAATGCTCCTAGGCTTGGGTCACTCAATATCTTCGCTTAGAATAAGCTGTTATCGTTTTTATTTTTTTGCTAATTCTGGAGCTTGAGCTCAGGGCCTGGGTACTGTTCCTGAGCCTCTCGGTGCTCAAGGCTAGCACTCTACCACTTGAACCACAGCGCCACCTCTGGCTTTTTCTGTTTATGTGGTTCTGAGGAATTGAACCCAGGAATCAAACCCCAGGGTTTGATGCATGCTAGGTAAGCACTCTACCACTAAACCATGTTCCCAGCTCTAGCCTGTTATCTATTTCCTATATCCATCATCTCATGACATGCAAGAATCTCTGTCTTGGCTGGGAATGTGACTTAGTGGTAGAGTGTTTGCCTATTATGCATGAAGCCCTAGGTTCAATTCCTCAACACCACATAAACAGAAAAAGCCGGAAGTGGTGCTGTGGCTCAAGAGGTAGAGCACTAGCCTTGAGCTGAAGAGCTGAGGGACAGTGCCGAGGCCCAGAGTTTAAGCCCCATGACCAAAAAAAAAAAATTTCTCAAGGACTTTCCCGCTTCATCTGGCTTTGATCCCAACCTCCTTAGTAGCTAGTATTACAGGCATGAGCCACTGGTACCCAGCCCAGCCAATAGTTTTAAATGGTTTCCTTATAGCATATGGATTACCTCTTAAGGAATTATATGAGAATTTATATGGTACTTACAAGGCAGGAAAGTCCATGAGACTCTTATCTCCAATTCACCAAAAAGAAGGAAGTAGGAATGTGGAGGTAAAGTGCTAATCTTGAGCACAGCTCAGAGACAGTACCTAGGCCTAAATCAAGTCCCAGAACCAGTGAGTGCACCCTGCCTCCCATTAATCTTAGATACATGAATTTATTTTGGCATTCTTCATTCTATTCCACTAATTTGTCAGGCTTTATTCTAGTACTGACCCACACTTTATCAATGACCCTTTGAATAAAATTTGAAATAAGGGAATAAATGTTCAACTTTGTGCTTCCCTCCCCTTATATTTTGATTGAGGATCCATTGAATTTCCCTATACTGTCATGATCAGTTTACTTATTTGCCTAAAAAGTTAGAACTTGATTGCCTTGAATTTTTGGAGTCCTTACCATAGTAACATTAATGCTTGAAATCCTTAATTGTGGCCTTTTCCCCATTTATTTAGGTATCCTTTATTGTTTTTTTTTCGGTTGTGGGGCTTGAACTCTGGGCCTGAGCACTTCAGCTCACGATGAGCGCTCTCCCACTTGAGCCACTGCGCCACTTCCGGTTTTCTGAGTGGTTTATTGGAGATAAGAGTCTCATGGACTTTTGTACCGGGCTGGTTTTGAACCGTGATCATTAGATCTCAGCCTCCTGAGTAGCTAGGATTACAGGCGCGAGCCACTAGCACCCAGCTTCCAATAGCCTTTTGTAATTTCCAGTGTAGCATTCTAATTTTTCATTTATTTTATTCCTATTTATCCTTTTTGATCTTGTAATAAATGGAATTCAACCTTTGGGTTTTTTTTGTTTTTTGCCAGTCCTGGGGTTTTGACTTTGAGACTGGGCACTGTCCCTGAGCTTTTTCTGCTCAAGGACATCACTCTACTACTTGAGCCACAGCACCACTTCTGGTGTTTTCTGTTTATGTGGTACTGAGGAATTGAACCCAGGGCTTCATGCAAGCAAAGCAAGCACTCTACCCTAAGCCACATTCCCAGCCCAACTCTTGGTATTTTTATATCATCATTGCTAGTTTATGGGGGTTAGAATGAGTTTTATATATTGTCTGGCAGCTTTGCTGAATTTCTTTTTTTTTTTGGTGGGGGGGGTCCAGTCGTGGGGCCTGAACTCTGGGCCTGGGTGCTGTCCCTCAGCTCTTCAGCTCAAGGCTAGCGCTCTACCACTTGAGCCAGAGCGCTACTTCCAGCTTTTTTTTTTTTTTTTGCCTTGAGCATGCAAGGCAAGCGCTCTACCACTGAGCCACCTTCCCAACCCATGCTTTGCTGAATTTCTTAATGAGCTCCAGTAGTTTTCTTTAGAATATCAACTCCTGAGTTGTCATCTAGGAACTGTTCAGTTTCTTTTCAATCTAGATCCTTTTTTTTCTTTTTGGTCGGGGGCTTGAACTCTGGGCCTGGGCACTGTCCCTGACCTCTTTTGCTCAAGGCTAGTGCTCTACTTTGTGCCACAGCTCCACTTCCAGTTTTCTGGTGGTTTATTGGAGATAAGAGTCTCATACTTTTCTGCTGGGGCTGGCTTTGAACCATGATCCTCAGATCTCAGCCTCCTGAGTAGCTAGGATAAAAGACATGAACACTGGTGCCTGGCCCCCTCATTTCTTTATTTGCCCTGGCAGGTTTTTCTTCCCTTATAAAAGAGGGAGAAACTTTGTGGCCTTTGAGCATTAAGACTTTTTGTTTGTAGTGGGGCTTTGCCTCAAAGCGAAGCCTCTACCATGTGAACCACAGTGCCTCTTACTGTTTTCTGGTGGTTAACTGGAGGTATGAGTCTCGTGGGCTTTCCTGTCTAGGCTGGCTTTGAATCAAGATCCCCAGATCTCAGTCTCCTGAGTAACTAGGATTACAGATGTGAGCAACTGGTGCCTGGTTTAGACAATTCATTTCTAGTCTTCATTTTTACCTTAAACTAGTACTTTTCTGATATAGGTTAATCTTGATTCCTTAAGCAGCGTCATAATCTCCTTATATTCTCCTATACAAAACATGTAAAAATTAATTTGCCCTCTGGGACCATTTACTATGTAATGCCTCATTACAGGAAAGCTCATTTCCCCCCCTTTTCAATCTTGATTCAGTTGAACTTGCTCATCATTCTTTTCTGGAATTTGATCTTTCTTCTTTCCTCTTCCCTATGAGGATGTTTGCAGATAATAAAATCCATGAAAAGCTCCCAGACACTATGCAGTCAGATTCACTCACTTTTATTAGGAACAAACACAATATCAGATGAGTAGAAATAACTTCAGAGTTGATATTAAAAGAAATTATTTCAAAATTGTTAGGTTACAAATAACTGTTGCACATAAAAAAAAAATCCCACCCAAGGAAGCAAATGGAATCCTGCATGTTTTCATAGCAGTGAGTATGCATTCTCTAATTGTGTCTGACTAGTCAACATTTACCAGATGATTCAGTCTCTCGAGAGAATGATGTACATTAATGATGTTATCTGGGACATAGGCAAATATCCCAAAACGTTTTATAAAGAGCATTTGTCATGCTTACACCTATCTACCCATTGGCTTAAGTCAGGATTATCATCCCATTTTCACAGAAGTAATATTGAGTCACATTACAGTTATGTGACTTGTCCAGTGCTATGGTTTTAATTTATCCCACAAGTCATGGGTTGGAACTTTAATCCCAATGCAACTATTGAGAGGTGGGACTATTAAGAGGTGATTAGGTCAGGATTCTACACTTAATAACATCTTTATCTTTGGAGTGGACCCATTATAGTCTGCGTGATCACAGTAGCACAATGATAGGAGGACCTGGCCTTACTAACAACAGAACATGGCCACCTTACTTTCTTTGTTTTTTTTGTACCAACTCATTTCAAAAAAGGAATAAAGAAAAGACAAGCAGGACACTAGCAAACCATGGCGGGGGAGGGGAGGAACTTCAATCCTAAATGCTACAACTATGTTTAATTAAAAAAAATACTGTAAAGCATGTGCATTCAAATTACTTTCACCACCCATCAAATATGGTCACTTCATGAAAACAACACTAAGAAAAGTTCCCAAAATGAAGCCCAGAAGGAAATCCTTCAGATTGATATACAATTAATCCTCTTAACAGGCCAGCTTTTATACTGCCATATCTGCAGGCTCTCAGGTTTTAAGGGACTCCACAGAAGGAGTTAGGGCAGGCTCGAATGCAATACTGTTTAGAAAAGAGGTAAGGCACCCAAATAAGTTGTTAGCACACCCACAAGGCAAGGACTGTTAGAAATTCACTTGATCTGAGTTTCTCATTAACGTGTCTTGTGAACTGAGCTTTATATTGTTGAAAATAGTGTTCCTTAGTGAGCTGGCACACCTCTATCTACACAAGCACATACATGTTGGGATCCTTGTCTTGTGTAGGGATATGGCATGGATCAGATCCTTAGAAAAGAACTGGAAGGGAAAACTGATTTTATAGTCTACATTATATAGCAGGCATCTAATGATCTGTGTAACTATAAAATCACCCAAAAGACAGTCCAAAGACACAGATCAGCAAATATAACCTACTATAATCTTCCATGAGATTCATTTCTATTCTAATTTGCAGCTCAAAGATAAAACTGCTTTCATGTAGGCTAGTCTCTGTATTCTTTATTCAGTTACCCCAAGAAGGCCCTTTCCACTATTGGATCTCAACCCTGGATACAGCATTTGGTATTGAACATTGACAACCCTAATACAAAAGAGCTAGGCTTTTACACTGATGACTGAGCTATAAGGGACAGGAGAGGTTTGTGGTCTTCATACTGCTGACATTCTGTGTTATTTCCAGACTTCTATCCTATTGTCTGCCCAAGACTATATGATACCCAATTACAGTAACTGCTTCAAATACAGTTTTTCCTACCAAGTTCAGGATATCTCATCTCATGTCTCAACCCAAGTTGTGCAGCAGAACCTGCATCCGGGGACTGGGGCATTTTTTTTCAATGTGAGGCACTTGGGAACATGCCCTTGCTTCTTGTGCTTCCTATTTAGGACCATATGCCTTCCTCCTTCTACAAGCATTGCAGTATCACCTGGGAACACTGACTGATTAGCCCAAGTCATTCTGCTGAACATTCAGAGGACATTGAGCATGCTCTCTTCTGCTCTGACCCACACAGAGGTGACTTAAACAACAAACCATCTTTGCTCCATGGCTGGCTCACTGCACATTATGAGCCTTTGTCTTGGCAATGACTTTTATGAGATAAGAGTCTAAGCCAGGGATGTTCCTGGAGGATTTGTTAAACTTTTCCTTTAAAAAGTTTCAGCATGGCAGAAGCTCCAGGGATGGAGGTGGAAAGATCTGAAAGCCACAGGAAAGGGAGAGCCAGCCAAGAAATGGCATTGTTTGCTAAAGAAATACATTGGTATAGTGTCTAGGAGCACTGTATCTCCAGGTTAGGAAGCTTCCAGGACAGTAAATCATTCCCCTGTACAGACTCAGGGGGCTGTGAACCCAAAGAAATGTCAAAGAACAGACAGAACGAGGAGAAAAGGGACAGATATAACAGAAGCAGCAATTCAAAATCATGGTGGTTGATTAAGAGATTCCTACTCTGTCTGGAAGAAACTTGCTTTTTCGAATGAAAGGAGAAGCTGGACTGAAGGGAGCTAATACTTGTTTCTCTAGAGAGCACTCTAACTGTTGAATCAATCCCCTGGCAATGTTTTCTCAGAGTCCTTCCTTTGGAAAGTTACCTCATATATGCTGCCTACAATTCTGCCTCTCAACCTTTCCAGCTGTTGCCTGGAAGGAAGAGGTAACTTGGATAATTCCTCCTCTCCTTCAAATGTCTTAATATTTCTTTCTCAAAGGGAAATACCCAAATGAATATTTACTTGTTGCAATAGAGGTTTCTATGTCTACATATGCTTTAACTTTGATCCAAGATTACCTCCTAAAAAATACTTTCAACATTGGATAGTTGGAAATGCCACAGCTGTCTTACTGACTCTAAAGTAGTGACAAAATCCTGAAGATGGGTAGAACAGGTGGAAGAAGTTAGATGAGCATCTCATGGACTGCTAACACTATGAGGTCTTTGCTCATCAATTTTGTAACCAAGCCTGAAGACTTTTTCTATAAAATAAGAAATCTCCTTGCTATTCAAGAAAGATAAAGCCCTCAGACTATTTTTCCTTCTTTATTCTCTGCCTAAACTACATTGAGACATTGAGGTTAAGTGCTGTGTTTGAGAATCACCAAGCTCCATGGATATCACTTACTCTAAGTCAGTAGAGAAAGGCTATGCAGAGGCTCTATACCTCTGCTAGGCAAGCAGCTGGCTTTGATCACAGCAAGAGCTTCGCCTCGCCTAGTTCCCACCTCTACCACATTCTAACTGTTGAGTCATATCTTACATGCTGAAACTTGTCCCCTGGCAATTTACCTGCCATGCAAGCTCTCTGCCAAATGCAATTATTTTTTATTCCTCATGGCAATACCTGGACTGAAGAAAATTAAGAGGAAAATTAAAAGATTTTCTTGGATCTCTAATAAAGAATAGCTCAAAAAGAGTTGTCCCCAGTCTTCACTTTTAGGTTTTAAAAAGGCTGGTAGGCTTTGAGGTGATGTAGACCTATGGCTGACCATAGTGGCCTAGGAGGCAATGAAGAAGACAAGGATGTTTATAGAAACAAAGCAAAGCAAAGGACAGTAATAGAAGAGAGAAGAATATGTTTATCATCATAAAGGAGAGTTGTTGCCTTTCAATACTTATGCACTTTTAAGACACTGTACTAGAATGGGTTAAGATCATCATCTTTAGCATCCTGGTAGCATTATTCAGTAGTTAATGAATGAAACATTAAACCTCTGCCCAGATGGCTTTTGCAACAGGAACTTAGAATCTCAGCCACTCTTGTAGCTTCCATCTCCAGTTCTTTTAATCCTGGCCAGGATGGCAGCCTTGGATACTTTCTTCCGGTCATAAGCCAACCCAAGGGCAGCCATGCAATCGATGAAGAATGTGGTGAAGTTGAGGCTCCAGCGGTACTCACTGGCGGAGTAGTCATAGGGGAAGGAGTGGTGGTAGTTGTGGAAGCCCTCACCTGGAAGAGAAGCAAGAACAGTTAGGGAGCTTGGTGGGTTTCTGCTTCATCCTTGACCCTCTTACCTACCCAGCAGTTACTCTGTACCTTGGAATATCTTGCTGTTACTAAGTAAACAGATGACACAGTGTCTTCTACTCTGAAAAAATGGATGACTTCAGAGTATGCTTAATAGATTAACCAAGAAGTCCTGCTTACCATGTCTACCCTGGAGCCTTAAGGAAAAAAAGATTCCTTCAGAATATAAGAGGAAGAGAGAAGCTAGTTCTTCAGGGAAAAAATATTTTACACTGGAAAATGCCAAAGCCTTAGTAAATGCTGGCCAAAGATCCCCTGACAGTGAATGTCTTCAAGTAGGGAGGAAAGAGTCCAAGTAAGAACTTTCACTATGGGGTTGGGAAGGTGGCTCAGTGGTAGAGTGCTTGCCTTGCATGCCTGAGGCCCTGGGTTCTATTCCTCAGCACCACATAAGCAAAAAGAAAAAAGTTTGAAGTGGCACTATGGCTCAAGTGGTAGAGCGCTAGCCTCGAGCTGAAGAGCTGAGGGACAGTGCCCAGGCCCAGAGTTCAGGCCCCACGACTGGACCCAAAAAAACCCCAAACAAACAAAAAAGAACTTTCACTATGCTTCTTACAAAGGTGAGTAAGCAGCACAACTTCCCTCAGAGCACTAGTGCTCTCTGTAAGCTGAGAGGTTCCATCAAAATGGGCAGTGACAGCCAAAATTCAGAGGAAAGGAGCCCAGCCGGGAGTAGGTAAGAGAAAGTTTGGAGGAATGAGTTAACAGCTGAACAAAGTAAGGAGGTGACTACCACTAGAAACGGATGGTCATGAGGAGGCCAGAACTGGAAAGCTCATTCCACTTATATACCTCAGTCTGTAGTATTCCACATGTATGAATCTCAGATTGTACAGTGTAAGTCATTTGTGTCAAACATGAATCAAAGCAAGAACATATACAATGGTTTATCATATACATCTCCTAAAAAGAGCAGTTCTGATCATAAACATGGCCAATGTTAGTGTTATGAAAAAGATGAGCCTAAGTCTGTAAGTTGCCTCTCTGTCAGAGGAACAATAATTCTGACAACTAGTGAGAAGAAGCCACTGGGGCTGCACAGGATAAAACTAATTTGACATCTTAGGCAAAATATATTCACTTGGAAGAAACTGCCATCAAACTATCTGCTTTATCAGAGGATCCTGATAGGGGAAGAGAGTGACAAGCACAAAATGGAAAACAAGAGACAGGGAAGTGGGGTGAGAAAGGGTCACCAACATATTAATATATTAACATCACTAAAAGGCAGTCTATCCTTACAAGGATGGCACATTCAAATACAGGAGGAGCTAAAAATACTTCAAATACAGCATACTTGAAGTTTCCTGAACTAAATTATAAGCATCCCTCATTTTATAGGATGGTTAAATGGAAAATATTAGGCTTGTAGGCCAAGTAGATGACCTTGCTTTTCAACTTACACATCACTTGCCTCAAGCAAATCTACACACCCATCAGAGGTGACTAGAAAAAGGAAACTTAAAGGGGCTAATTATAGATAATAATTGCAAATCGTTTCACAACTTAAAATGTTCAGTAGAATGATTTTCCACTGTTTTACACAAGTGTTGTTACCTGGCTCTTACAAAAGGATTTCCTATTACATTGTCCCTACTTTTATTGTAGAAAAACTGGCCCACACAGGATCTATAAAAACAGCTTATTCTAGTTCTTCTGGAGTCTAGCCAAGTACTCTCAACAGCAGACCAAGAGACATAGTTGGTTTTGCTGCACACTTCCAACTCACCCACAGCTCCCAGTGAAACCAAGATGTTCTCCCGAGAGCTAATATTCTTGTCATATGGGCGGTATCCATAGAGGTGGGCAGCACTGTTCACCAGCCAGGTGGCATTGAGCACGATGGCATATCGCAGGAAAGTGGCAACGAACAAGCTGTGTTTAAAAGTTTCACCCCAACAATACCAGGGCACCAGGGTGGGCAGGATGAAGCACATCAACAGGAGACCAGGCTTGTAGTACCTACATGAGAGACAACAAGGTGTCCGTAGAGAGGACTCACAAACCTACCTGGATTGTCCAGTCTCACTGGACTGGGCTGTCTTTTCTCCTATAATATGCATCCACTGGTGCAAATATTATCGAGAGAATGTGGTAAAAAGTCCTTTGGGCACATGGTGTCACCTCATTTTTTTTTTTTTTTTGTCGGTTGTGGGGCCTGGGCACTGTCCCTCAGCTCTTCAGCTCAAGGCTCTACCACTTGAGCCACAGTGATACTTCCAGCTCTTCTGCTTATATGGTGCTAAGGAATTGACCCAGGGCCTCATGCATGCAAGGCGAACATTCAACCACTGAGCCACCTTCCCAGCCAACTCACCTCATTCTTTAACTGAGGCAAATGGAGGCAGTAAATGACTTTATTGGTTGGTTATCATTTTAGTGGGAACCCATGGGGTAAGATTTAAAACACCCATTTTCTGATTCAAAATCTATTGTTAGGTCGGGCGCCAGTGGCTCACAACTGTAATCCTAGCTACTCAGGAGGCTAAGATCTGAGGATCACGGTTCAAAGCCAGCCCGGGCAGTCCGTGAAACTCTTATCTCCAATAAACCAGAAAAGCAGAAGTGGCGCTATAGCTCAAGTGGTAGAGTGCTAGCCTTGAGCTGAAGAGTTGAGGGACAGGGCTCAGGCCCAGAGTTCAAGCCCCATGACCAACCCCCTCCCCAAAATCTATTGTTAGTTTAAAAAAAAAAGAAAAGAAAAAGAAAAAAAAAGAGCATGAGGCTTAGAGAGGCAGGATCAAGTCACAGCTAGCTTCATCAGCCAAATTCTGATGCCTGCCTCCAGTCTTGCTAATGCCTCCTAGTTCTTTGCTCTTCTTTTCCTAGTATCCTTGACCATAGGCAGGTCTCTGTTCTACTGTAGGCCCCATCTTTCTTCAGTCACTTGTAGACAAGCCCATTACCATTTCAAAACCACTGGTTGTTCATATCCTTCAGTCATTGCCTTAAGCTTTTTAAATTTTTTTGGTGCCAGAACTGGGACTTGAATACAGGGCCTGAGCACAGTCACTAAGCTCATTTGCTCAAGGCTAGTGCTCTACCACTTGCCCCACAGCTCCACTTCCATCTTGTAGTCCTTTTTTGTGTCATACCTTAAACTTCAAGAGGACTTCATTCTTGGAACATGCTTGCTTTGACTCCTTCTGAACTTTGTTTTTGTTGTCCTTGACAATAACACTGTGAAGTCTCTATTCATCTGTTCTTTATTCATGAACCCAAACCTGAACTTGTACATAAAATGTCCCTCTTCTTTGTACTTCTCAGGCACAGAAAATATTCTACCTTGTGTAATGGTTATTAATTACTTGACTTACTCTTTCCTCTTTCAATAGGTGTTGTGGTCAAGTTACACTCATCTTTGTATTTCTATTCTAGATAAATACAAAGGAATTTTAAGTAATTTGGATATTCAAGCCAATAAATCATTTGCTATTATTAGCTTAGTCCTAAGAGTCAGTGAAGTCCCCAACCCTATGTTCCAAGGTCCACACCCCAGCTCCATCCTCCTTTCACTCACCTCCTCTGGAACATCACCAGTTTCTCAGCTTTGAGGTCAGACAGGTCCAGCAAACCACCCTTCTCTTTGACAGCTGGGTGTTTGCGCACAAGCAGCCAACCCACGTGAGAGAAGAAAAAGCCACGACGGGAATTGTGAGGATCAGCATGAGTTTCTGAGAACTTGTGGTGGGCGCGGTGATCTCGGGCCCATTCATACACGTCATTCTGGAGGGACAAAAGAAGAAACTAAGCCTGAGGAGAGATGCCCTTCAGGGAGGATTAGAGTGCCCAGATGTCTGCAAAGGCCAGAGCTCTCAGCCCAACTTCACAGTCCTCAAGTCTCAAGCTACAAAGGAGGTGAATAAGACTGCTATTCCTGGCTATGTAGTGAGGAGAAAGTAGTAAGTCATAGTGCTCAGAGAGTGTCACTGATATGAAGCTGCAAATCCTACAATGTAGCTCTATGAATAAAGGTGCGTGAGCTCCATCATTAGCAAAGAACATGATAATTCTTCAAACAAGAAATGAGAGTCATAGCTGGGCAATGGCAGCTCATGCTAGAAATCTTAGCTACTCAGGAAACTGAGGTCTGAGGATCATGGTTCAATGCCAGGAAAGTCAGCAAAGTCTATGAGACTCTTACCTCCAATTAACCACGAAAAAGCTGGAAGTAGAGCTGTGGGCTCAAGTAGTAGAACACTAGCCTCAAGCTGAAAAAGCTCAGGGACAGCACCCAGGCCCTGAGGCCAAGCCCAAGACCAGCACACACAAAAAAGGGGGAATTCAGCCTGGCACCAATGGCTCATGCCTGTAATCTTAGCTACGCAGGAGGCTGAGATCTGAGGATCACGGTTCAAAGCCAGCCTGGGCAGGAAAGTCTGTGAGACTCTTAACTCCAATAAACCACCAGAAAACCAGTAAACCACCAGAAAACCAGAAGTAGTGCTGTGGCTCAAGTGGTAGAGCACTCACCTTGAGCTGAAGAGCTGAGGGGCAGTGCCCAGGCCAAGTTCAAGCCCCATGACCAACAAAAGGAAAAAAAAAGGAGGGGAGGGTTTCCTAGACTTTCATTGGACTCAATCACCAGTTGCCTTCATTCTGTTATAAACTTATTGCCTCAACAAACTTTAAAATTTGGCAAGTATAGCAGCCCCAGATAAGACCACAACAATCTATATAACCTCTCATAGTACTTAGCAATCAGTGCCATGAAGTATTTGTTCTTGTTATCTGCATCAACATAGTTCCTGAATTGTGTCATCTCTTTGCTATTGACCTCTGTCTCCCTTCCCACTACACACCTTGAATGGGATAGCTGCTATTAATATTCCACAGTACAAGGGAAGAAATAGATATTATGAGAATGTTTATCCAAGGATACATGGTTTAAAGGTAGCTTGTTTGTCAAAATGCTGTGTATGCATATGTGCATATGCCAGTCCTCAGGCTTAGAACTCAGGCTGAAGTATCCCAGGCTTGATGAACCTCAGCACTGAGCCTATACCATAGGTGACCACAGGCAACCACAAAGGGCCATAGCTGTCCTGCTCTAGCTTCTCAAAGGGGTGGAGACAGTTGAGTTGCTCCAGCTGCTCACCTGGAATGCCATGGTGTTGGCAATGATGAGGAAGAGCCTCAGAGGCAGCCGTGCTTTGTAGGTCCGGTGGCTCCACAGGCGATGAGCCCCTGCTGTGATGCCCAGGGCACTAATGATATAGTACAGGTAAACTGTAGGAAAAGACAGTAAGGGAGTAATAAGAGGCAAGTTCCATTAGGAGAATCATGCTAATGACACTCTTCTGCTGTCAGCTGTTGCTTTTTTACCTTAGTCTTTGGGGCCTCATAGTTTTCACAACTTGAAAAAAAAAATATGACCTCCCAGCCTCTACACTTAAGAATGGGGACAAAACTAAGCACCCTCAGGAATTAGTGAACCGGAAGTCAGGACAGGCAATAGATCCTCATTATTGTGCTATTTTCAACGTCAAACTGCAGGAGCATTATTCAAGGTCCTGTCTCTGACTTTCTGATCTTCACTACAGTTTTCTCAGTTGCAAACTTTTTGTCCTCCAGCTTAGGATTCATAGCATTGGTGGTCTGAAAATAGCAGCTAGAAAAGTCTAGGCAATGGCCAATTGGAAGACACCAAGTGTTAAGTGATACAGGTATGGCTATTTACCAACCAATACAATAACATTCCAATTATGTAGCAGGTTGATATGGCGGCAGTATGTAGGAAAGTCAGCCCTGCATAGAGGCAAGCTTTACCAAGGTTGTTAATACTCTCCTATTCACTACGCACTTTGAATGGGACAGTTGCTATTAATACTTCACATTGCAATGGAGGAAATAGATATGATGAGAAGTATTTATCCAAGGATATGTGGTTTAAAGGTAGCTTTTCTGTCAAAATATTCTGTGTGCACGCATGCACATGGCAGTCCTAAGGTGTCAACTCAGAGGCTGGGTGCTGTTCCTAACCTCTTTTTTTGGGGTGGGGGGGGGTAGTGCCTGAACTCTGGGCCTGAGCACTGTCCCTCAGCTCTTCAGCTGAAGGTAAGCACTCTACCATTGAGCTACAGCGCCACTTCCGGTTTTCTGATGGTTTATTGGAGATAGGAGTCTCACAGTTTTTCCTGCCTGGCTGGGTTTGAAGTGCAATCCTCAGATCTCAGCCTCCTGAGTAGCTAGGATTACAGGCGTGAGCCACCAGCGCCCGGCATCTCAACATGTTCTTATGCCACTTTACTATGTACCAAAAACCCATGCCCAGTTTTCACATCTATCCTTTACCATGTCTCTATCAATCCAAATTCTCACTGCCAAGCTAATTCTAGAATGCATGGACATGCTCAATGCTGGCAGGTGAGTACCTGGACATTACCCTGCCTCTAGGCCTGCAGGCTCAGGACATGTTACATATGACCTCTAACAGGGAAGGTGCTACTGGGTGAACCTGTATTTTTCTCTGTAAAGCAGCTTTAGAAGTCAGGAATTTAGGCAGCAGTAGAAATTGTTAACAATGTTCCACTACTAGTGGGCAGCTGGAAACAATGGTTGCAGTGGGAGATAACCCAGTGAACAAACTGTCCTGTGTTCTGCAGCCAGAGATAACAGATTCCTAAACAGCCTCTTCCCTTTTCTCTCTCTTACCTCCTTCATCCTATTGTATTCCTTCTTCTTTGTGATCTTTGGGAGAGCCACTGAGCCAGCATCTATCCCAAGACAAACTGTAACTACAAACTTGTCTGAGGTAGGATAGGTCATAAATGATAAATGAGCTAGGATAGGCCCACATGGTGTGAGTTCTTCCCACAACTATAACTGTACCTGGCAAAATCAAACTGGAACTAGGACCCCACAGTAACCATGAAAAAAGAAAGAACTTTGGGGTCACAAATCAGTGTCTCATGCTTGTAATCCTAGCTATTTAGAAGGCTGAGATCTAAGGATAGCTGTTTGAAGCCAGCCCAGGCAGAAAAATCCATGAGACTTTACTTACAATTACACACACACACACACACACACACACACACACACACACACACACACACACACACAAAAAGGGGAGGGAGAGAGAGAACAAAGAACTTTGGGCAGAAGCCCTAAGCTGAAAGTAAAGGAAGCCTCCATGTTTGTTTCACACTGCAGGTGGCCCAGTCACTTGCATCTAACAAGACACACCAACAGGGGAATTGACCAGATACAGGCAAGGCACTCTGCAGCCGTTCTTCAGATAACTTTAGGTTTGTTAAACAGAAGGCTCAGGTCACTTAGCTTCATTATGTCCCCCAGAAGAAGAGAGTCCATGTCTACACTGTTAAACAGTATGGCACAGTGCTGCTCCAAATAGAATTGAGGGGTTCTCTCCCTCTAACCTCAGTCTTGAATTAAATAGCAAAAAGCCAGAAGCAAAGGTATGGCTCAAGTGGTGGAGAGCCAACCTTGAACAAAAACAGCCAAGGAAGAATGTGAGGCCTTGAATTCAAGCCCCATTTTTGGCACAAAGAAAAGAAATACTAGGAGGCATACAACTAACTGATCAATGATGACTTAACAAATCTCTTTTTTTTGTGCTAGTCCTGGGGCTTGAACTCAGGGCCTGGGAACAGTCCCTAAGCTTTTGCTCAAGGCTAGTACTCTACCCATTGAGCCACAGCTCCACTTCTAGCATTTTTGGTAGTTAGTTGGAGATGAGTCTCATGGGCTTTTCTGGCCAGGTAGCTTGGAACCAAGATCCACAGATCTCAGTCTCCTGAGTAGCTAAGATTATAGGCATGAGCCACTAGTGTTCTGCAACTTATCTAATCTTAACAAAGTAGAATTGCCCCTATTTGTTACCTGGAAAACCTATGGTCTTGAGGACCTGCCTAACCAGCCTTTCTATACCTGACCTCTAAGAGAGCTGCTATAATTGAGAATGTTTCAGAAAGCTTCAGGTTTTCTTCTGGGGAGGAACTCCTGACTCACTATATCTGAGAACCAGAGGAGTCTATAAAGTTCCCTGATCCTCTTTTCTGATTCAGGCTTCAGAAGCAGAGGTAAAAATTTCCTGCAAAGGGCATGTATGGGGACAACCAGTTTCCAGGTTTCTCTGCTCATTCTCCTGAGTGGTCTTTACTTTTGCCTTGTTAAATTAACTGTTAACCCTATTTTTTTTAAGAGGCATTGTGGACACACAGAGCAGCCCTACCATGAGCCCATACCCAGGGACCCTGGAATTGCTGAGATAGAACAGGGCAGGGAAAAAGCAAGGCTGGGAGAGGTGGCCAGGAAATTGTCTCAAACAGATGAGCTCTTTCAGGGTTAGCCCTGCACATGGTTCCAGGGTTCACTATTCAACACCTGTTTTACGGGACCCAGGCAGAGCCAACACTTGTGCATCCCAATTCCATTAGGTTCTATTCCCACCTGCCTCTGGCAAATAAATGTCTGGGAAACCTGAGAGGGGACACTGCCTGCTGTGGGACTGCACCTCATTAAAGAGCAGGGAGAAACCTGGGCACTGGCTCAGGAAGAGGGGAGCTGCTTACCCCAGAGCCAGGTGTAGGCCTTGCAGCCAGGAACCAGGGTGATCCCATACAGGGCTCCCAGGTGCAGCAGAGCCATGAGGATGATGTTTCTCCACACATACTCAAGCTTCGGTGCGGGGCCCACCTCATCCTGGTAGGTGGGGTCATAGATGTCCTCTTTCATTTCGGGGCGGATGTCTTCTCCCAAGTCACGGGGGATCTTTTCCATCCTTTCTTCTCCATTCTGCGCTGTGATGGTGGTGGTGGTGGTGTAGGAGCTGGAAATCTTAAGGAAAAGGAGTGTAGAATTAGGAGACGGCAGCTGCAAGCAGCTGCAGGAGCAGCAGGGGGCACTTTGCTCTCTAAGGCAGCTGGGGGTGGCGTGGGGGAAGGGCGTAATGCAAGCCAGACCCCCAATACCCAGGTTGCATGAAGGGTGAGTGTACCCCGAGATGGAGCAGGGGCAAATTTCCAGAAACTGCACTTCAATTATGGTTCTAAAACATCACATTGAAGGGGGAGAAAGATTATTTCCAACCCCTGGAAACACAAAGGAAATTCCCGCACGTACACATAAAGGATCGGGTTTTACTTTTCTTTAAAGCCCAAAGACACACGATGGGGAATCTAGGGCCCATGTTAAACATATACTTAACCACCTGGAAGCTAGGGAACTTAAACTGAAGGCAGCAAAACTCGAAAAAGATGGCTAAAGGCTCCCAGGAGCTCTGAACTGTCTCTCCAAACCAGTTACCTAGAGGCCTAATCCGCGTCTGCTAACCAGCCGGGTGGAGGCCATTTCTGGGGAACTCACCTCTTGCAGCATATGGGCTGGCATCTTGGCTTTCGGATGCCGCGATCACGTTTCCAGAACTGAAAGAGTAATGCTTTCCTTTCTTAGGCTGGCTGGTATGCGGCAATTCAATTCGATGAGCAAGCTCCCTGGGAGTCGAGGCCGGAAATTGCTGTGCTCGGGGGCTGGAGCTGTCTAAGGGGAAGGGGGAGTGATAGAGACCAGTATATCCTTAAGTCCGTTTTTATCGATTAACGATTAGCGCAAAACTGGCGGGTCGAAGCCACCGTGCGCGCGCGCGCGCGCGCGCGCGTGATAACAGGAGAAGGAAAAGTCAGGACACAACCCACAAAAAACGCAGCTGGCAGCGTCCGGAGATCCAAGCATCGGGATACTGCAGACAACGCGCAGTCCCATCCCCAGCCCCAAGGGAAATGCTAATGAAGCGTCTGTAAACTCTGGTTAGTCATTGGCCAAGGGGAATTTGGTACCACCTCGTCCTGCTGTTTCCATTGGCTCGGCACAATCGGCTGTTCCCTGGGCCGCCAACCCTTCCCTCCTCCGCCCCTCTTTTTCTGCATCTTGGCTTCTCACCAATAGGCTGCTGGTCCTTTACCCAGCACCCCGCGTCCTTGAGGGGCGCTCTTGAGATCTCTCTGGGAGAGAGGGCCCATCTCTGCAGTGGGGGTTGGGTCCAAAGCTAGCCGGACCAGGGACCTGCGAAGCAGTTGCACAGGAAACAGTAGGGAAGCCACAGTGGCGGACCACTCACAACTCTAACCCCTCTTCGCATTTCTCCTTGCGCATGGGAGGGAAAGATAGACTACCACCATCGAGAGCGAAGCTGAGAAGGTGCTGACACACCGCTGCGCTCCAAAGCAAGCCCTATGTCAGCAAAGGCTCAGCCCTTCCCGTTGGCTTCAAGATTTTTGACCCCAAGACTGAGGAGCTCTAGTGTCTTTTTTTTTTTTTTTTGTCGGTCGTGGGGCCTGAACTCTGGGCCTGGGCGCTGCCCCTGAACTCTTCAGCTCAAGGCCAACACTCTACCACTTGAGGCACAGTGCCACTTCCAGCTTTTTCTGCTTATGTGGTATTGAGGAATTAAACCCAGGGCCTCAAGCATGCAAGGCAAGCACTCTACCACTGAGCCACCTTCCCAGCCCCTAGCTCTAGTGTCTTAACTTTCACACGGATCAGTGTTCCTCTTGCACACTGTGAAGGCCACCAGTCACCAGGCCCATCCTCTGACCTCACCTATAGAATGATAGGGGTTGGGGAGAAGGGAGTGGCATTTGGGAGATTTTTTTCTACTTGACAGATTAGACTTTAGACCTTCCACAAGGAAAAAAAGGTAGTTGCAGAGAGTTGTTTTAAGAATAGTGAGCAAGAACTGAATGGAGATTTCTGCAAGCCAATTCACAACACTGATTTTTGTTGAACTCCCACACGACCCTGGAAGGTGGCCTTCATGGTTCCATTTTAAAGAGAAGATACCGAGGAGATCAAAGGACTTGCTCTAGTCAAAGCAGCCATTAAGGGGTGGAGTAAGAATTGTGCACAATTGTGATCCTGGCTAAGCTCTTAACCCTTCTCAGGACTTTACTAGCCTAGGAACCTGAAGTGCCCATTTAACCTTTTCCTTATGACCCCATCTCTGGGTTTGTTTTAGCCCTACTAGGAGAACTATACATTAATCCAGTCTGCCCACATACTCAGGTCTCCCATTATGTCTTGCTGTGGGAAGAGGAGGAGATAAAGACTTCTGGGCAATAACTAGCTTCTCAAGAACAGAGGCACCTGGCATTGCCTGGCAGAATTCTGTGCTCTGGTCTCAGAGGCAAGCTGACTCCCTAGCCAGTGATCAGGCACAATATTCCAAACCTGTTTCCTTGGTCAGTGGGAAAAGTGCTGAATGCAACTAGTTGTCCTCAGAAATGGATAGCTCATATGGTGAAGGCTCAGTCATGCTAACATGAAATAGAAATCTGCAGGTGTGCTGGGATGTAGCTCAATAGCAAATTGCTTGCCTAGCAAGTGCAACATCCTGGGTTCCATACCCAATACCAAAAAAGAAAGGACAAAAAAATACAGTTTAAAAAATTTGCCGGGAGCCTGTGGCTCACTCCTTAATCCTAGCTACTCTGGAGGCTGAGATCTAAGGATCACAGTCAAAAGCCATCCCAGGCAGGAAAGTCTGTGAAACTCTTATCTCCAATAAACTACCAGAAAACCAGAAATGGTGCTGTGGTTCAAGTGGTAGAGCGCTAGCCTTGAACTGAAGAGCTGAGGGACTGGGCCCAGGCCCAGAGTTCAAGCCCCACAACCAACACACACACACACAAAGTCTGCCGGTGTTGCTCTTCTTTTGGTTCTCTCTACAATGTCAAATCTGCTTAATTCCTTTACCAAATGAAGTTATTCAGACATCATCAGGGAACAATCTGAAATATCAGGGTCCCCTGCAACCTGCCCTTCTACTTTGCCTCTGGTCCCTAACTCTGCTAGAATAATGATCTAGGCTGATAGTGTTTCTTGGATGGATCAGTTTGGCATTCATTTTGTGCCAGAGAAAGCCAGGGGAGATCTGCCAAAACAAATACTGTAGAACGGAAGTGTTGAATTTCTCTCCAAATACAGGCTGCTGCCCTGTAGGAAAAGCCTTGGGAGTCTATAAGGTCTGGGTTAGGGAGGTAGAGCCCTCATTTTCAGTTGATTGTAGAGATAGAATAGCAGCTAGTTCATCCTGTGCATGTCAGATGAAGGTAGCTGTGTCACTGGATGCAGGTTAGGGTTTAGTGAACTTTTTCACTAAAAGTAGGGACTCTTCAATTAGGGTCCTTGACTTCGATTGCAGAATAAGAATTTCTGCACAAGTCATGATGGTAAGAAAACTTGGTGGAGTTTACTAAGTAAGTAAGCAAGCAGGCAAGCAGACAAACAAAAAAGCAGACAGACAAGCAGAAGGGCAGGGGCACATTTTAGCAGAGTGTGAGTGCTCTCACAGGGAGATAAAGGACACACACACACACACACACACACAGGGGGGGGGGAGCACACAACTCCTCTGACTTTGAGGTATTTATGGTAAGGCAGGGGGTCTGGCTTCAAAGTTATGCAAAGAGAGGTGTTTTTTCTTTGTTCTAATCACACTTGGTGTTGCTTTCTGAGTTTCTAGGTAAGAATGGATTTTGTCATAAAATAGATGCTTGTCCTTGAGATAAAGTGACACCCTGTTATCTGCATTTGGGGCAGGAGGGGCTTAAGTTTGGGGAAGCAATTTTCTCAGGAAGGAATGCATCCTGTTGTCTCTCTTTGAGGCAATAAGGCACTTCTATGTTTCTAAATACCATAGTTCTGAGTTGCCTACACCAGGCCTGTTTCCTTAAGCTATCCTGTTTCAGCTGTGTCACCCACTACTTTTAAATTTCAGGAGTTTATAACTGTACACAAAATAAGGCTGTATGGGATTCTGAGAAATAATGATGCTTTGTATTAAGAAGTAGTAGGTGAGTGGCAAATAAAAAGTCTTCAGTATTTGACCAATATTTGTTTATAATAGACTTTTCAGTGACTCAGATGATGGACATTTTCCCATAGAAGAGGAAATTGCAAAATACACTTGGAGATTAGAACTGTTAACATTCCTGTATTGTATGAGGCACAAGATACGATGGAAAATTTTTAAATTTTCATTTTGACCCTTCAATTCAAAAAAGCAAGGACAAACAAGCCCCATGAAGCCATCTTAAATAGTCAATAGCAAAAACTTACAATTGGTCTTCAGATGAAATCTATTTCTTATCATGGGCTTTGTAGAACATCTGAGATCTTTAACCCTTCTTGCCTTATTTATATTTTCCTCTCATCTTGGCTACCCTTCCTCCTTTCTCTCTACTCCCATGATACTACCTTCTCCTCTTCTAGTCTCTAGAAAGTTTATTAGGGTTGCCTCCCATAATATCCTCTTCAAGCGTTGTTTCTTCATCTTTTGTGCTATTCTTTATCTTTGCACTGGGATGCATCAGGGAACAGATCAGATTGTACCACCTTCCTTTACCCCAATTCTCTCCCACTCAAACAATAGAGAAAAAAGAGTCACAAAGGATAAATCTGGGATCTGCTCTGTCAAAATCCTGTTTGAGGCCCTAGGTCAGATGTAGTGTATTGTCATGACTTCCTCCTGAGGCTATTTCAAGGTTTTACTACTGAATGTTCAAGTATTAAACCCAATCCTTAGACCTTACCTATTTCTGTTTTTGTTTTTTTTGGGGGGTCTGGTCATGGGGCCTGAACTCTGGGCCTGGGCACTGTCCCTCAGCTCTTCAGCTCAAGGCTAGCGCTCTACCACTTGAGCCATAGCACCACTCCCGGCTTTTTTCTTTTTGCTTATGTGGTGCTGAGGAATCGAACCCAGGGCCTCAGGAATGCAAGGCAAGCGCTCTACCACTGAGCCACCTTCCCAGCCCCCCATTTCCGTTTTTTAAACTTTCCACTGAATATCTTGATTCCAAATAATTAATTTTAAATGCAAATCTCCTTTTCCTTTCTCTAGGTTCTCCTCCTCATTGGGTAGAATGGCCCTATGGTCCATCTGCCTTAGATGGGAATCATGACTGCCAAGTTTTTGTCTTTTCTGCCAATCCTGGGCACTGTCCTGAGCATTTTGGCTCATGGCTAGCACTCTATCACTTGCACCACAGATCCACTTCTAGATTTTTGGTGATTAATTGGAGATAGGAGTCTTAGGGACTTTCCTGCCTAGGCCTAGGCTGGTTTTGAACCACTAACCTTAGATTTCAGCTTCCTGAGTAGCTAGAATTACAGGCATGAGCCACCAGTACCTGGCTGCAGTGAGTATCTTTTGATGACAATGCAGGGTTTTTTTTTTTTTTATTGTGAAAATACTGTACAGAGGGGTTACAATTACATGGGCAAGAAAATGAGTACATTTCTTTTTTTAATTTTAATTTTAATTTTTTGTGAACATACTGTACAGAAGTGTTACAATTACATGAGCAAGATAATGAGTACATTTCTTTTTTTTTTTCTGGGTCTGGTCATGGGGCCTGAACTCTGGACCTGGGCGCTGTCCCTCAGCTCTTCAGCTCAAGGCTAGCACTCTACCACTTGAGCCACAGTGCCACTTCCGGCTTTTTTCTTATGTGGTGCTGAGGAATCGAACCCAGGGCCTAGAGCATGCAAGGCAAGCGCTCTACCACTGAACCACCTTCCCAGCCCCATGAGTACATTTCCTATCAAGCATTGTTGCCTCCTCCTTTGTTTCCCCTTCCCATCCCTTCCCATCCTCCCCCCACCCGTTTTTTTTTTTAAACTGGTCCTGAATTCAGGGCTTGGGTGCTGTCCCTG